GCGGCGCGGGCGGGAGCGCCGGGACCGGTAAGGTGTGTGCGGGGATAGCCCCCGCGGGGTCTGGGGAGACTGAGGGTGTGAGGCCCTTGGGGTCTGTGTGCAGGGAGGACGTGGGATCTGCAGCATGCGGTGGTGATCGCAGCTGGCAGCTCGCATTGCCTCCAGGCAGCAGAGATCTCCCGGCAGCGTCCCCAGGGGGTTTCCTTGCTGCCTCTCCACGCGTGACACGTCTCGTGGTGGCACTGGCCCCCAGGGTCTGTGCCTCCTTGGTGACAGGTGCTCACAAAGGCAGCAGTGCATGTCTCTGCAATGTATCCACAGCTGGGTGTAAAAGATGAGCGAGAGAGATGTTCTTTAGGTAGTGTAAATCATAGCATTTTAGGGGTTGGAGTGGACTTCACAGGTCATCTAGTCCCAACCCACCCTTGCCATGGGCAGGCACACCTCCCACCAGAGCAGGTTGCTCAAGGTTTCACCCAGCCTGGCTTCCAGGGTTGAGGCATCTACTTACCTCCCTGGACAACCTGTGCCAGTGTCTCACCACCCTCACAGGAAAAACGTTTTCCTAATACCTAATCTAAATTTCCCCTCTTTCAATTTGTACCCATTGCTCCTTGTCCTGTCACTGCAGCTCCTGACAGAGTCCTTCTCTGAGGGACTCTTAAATAAAAGACTGTTGTTATTACATCCTTATTGTCTAGGATAACCCATTTAGTTCACAGACTTGCTCTAAAGTCTTTGATAAGTCTTAGTGGGCTGCATCCAAAGGAGTGTGGGCAGCAGGACAAAGGAGGTGATTCTTCCCCTCTATTCTGCTCTTGTGAGACTCCACCCGGAATACTGCGTGCCGTTCTGATACCCTCAACATAAGAAGGACATGGAAATCTTGGAGCAAGTCCAGAGGAGGCCACAAATTCAATAAGAGGACTGGAGCATCTCCCCTTTGAGGGCAGGCTGAGGAAGTTGGGGCTGTTCAGCCTGGAGAAGAGAAGGTTGAGTGGAGACCTCAAAGCAGCTTTGCAGTATCTGAAGGGGCTACAGGGAAGCCAGAGAGGAACTCTTTGTTAGGAGCTGCAGGGACAGGACAAGAGGCAAAGGGTACAAATTCAAAGAGGGGAAATTTGAGTTAGATATTAGGCAAAAGTTTTTTAGTATGAGGATGGTGAGACACTGTCCCAGGTTGCCCAGGGAGGCTGTGGCTGCCCCAACCCTGGCAGTGTTCACAGCCAGGTTGGATGAGCCTTGACCAACCTGCTCTGGTGGGAGGTGTCTCTGCTCATGGCAGGGGCAGGTTGGGACTAGATGATCTGTAAGGTCCATTCCAACCCCTAAAATTGTATGATTCTATGATTAAATTCACCAACGGTTGTTTTTTATTTTCTACAACTGTTGATTTCAGTTTTCGCAGGTATGACTTGTCTTTCTCCTGCATTCCAGATCAGAAAAGGGCAGAATTAATTACTGCTGAATCATAACAAAGTCTTGTACAACAGAATGCAAGTTACTTGTCTAAGGAAAACTGACCTCAGTGGTAGTGATACTGCTTCTATATGCTCGTGTACCCTTCAGCACTTGTTCTCAACATCTTGGTTTTGACTTCTCTGGACTGTCATTTCATGAGTTATGGGTCTCAACTGGGTCTTACAGTACCCTATTTTTGGACAATGTTAAATGTGTCTGCTTAAAATATATGTCATGTTGTACGGTGTTACTATATATCGAGTGCAGTGGTATAATAAATCTAAAAGAAATGTTTTCATACACAGAATGGAGACTGATTGCAATCCAATGGAGTTGCCCAATAATACAGGGTTTGAAGAGGATTCTGATTATAGAGACTTTGAAGGAACAGATGTGAAGGATATGAGACTAGAAGCTGAAGCTGTTGTGAATGATGTTCTGTTCGCTGTCAGCAACATGTTTGTCTCAAAAACCCTTCCCTGTGCAGAGGATGTGGCCTATATCAACGTGGAAACCAGGGAGAGGAACAGATACTGCCTGGAGCTCAGTGAAGCAGGACTCAGGGTAAACTGATTTGTTTATACTTTCTTAAGCCTCTTTATTCTGAACAATGGACATGTTCAAAAGGTACCTAGAAAAATACTTCACTGGCACCAAAACAGCATATGTATTCCTCTTGTACTTTTATGGAAGCCTGTTCTGTATTTTTTCTCCTAGAAGAGGGAACTTTAACTAGTTGCTTCCAACAAAGCAAGAAAGGAAGTTGATGAAAAACATGCATTTATTTGAGACCTAAAATGCTGAAAATTAAGGCAGCAATTTGTTCGAGGCATGTCTGTCTTTATGTTCCTCAGGTACCCAAAGAAGTCAATAATACAGCAGCTGTATAGTTTCTTTTTTTGCACTGTTTGCATTTTTTTTTTCAAACATGTAGATGTGAGATTTATTTTCAAAGATCACAATTATAGATTTTACTAGTATTCTGAGTTTTGTACAATAGATCTTGAAACTGTCTTAAACACTGTTTTACCACTAAGCTCCGTGGTAGAAAGCACAGACTGTTATTTAAATCCAGTATCTTTTGTTCTCATGTTCCTACCCTGACTGGCAAAGTTAGAGGTTGTGATACTTGTTTCCCATTGTAAGGGGATCCTAACCTCAGAAATTTAACCACCCATTTTTTTCTTGCAGGTAGTAGCTTATGATTTTGATCAGACTGATGACAGATTGCAAACTCCATACCACGAAACTGTCTATTCCTTACTGGACTCTCTCAGCCCTGCGTATCGAGAGGTGTTTGGAAATGCTTTACTACAAAGACTGGAAGCTTTGAAGAAAGAAAGTCAGTCTTGATTTACCCAGATATGAGGAAGGTTTAGTGCCAGAAGGAATTCTTAGTATGAAGCACTTCCTAACAAACATCTTAAGCTTCGTTTCTTGCATTAATGCCTAATTCTTGCATTATTATACAACATTTATATGTTATAACAAGGATATTATATAACATTTTGCTACTGTGGATTTGCGTATATCACAAAGCTATTAAAAGCCACTTTGATAAATAACAAAATTTTCTAAATTTCACTTTCTTTTTGTTGTAAGTGAGCCAAGTAAGTTGCTTCTTACGATGTTTAAAAACTTCGGTCTCTTTTCAAAGTGTTCCTATTCAAAACTAAAAAAGTAGAAACTGAATGTTACATATACAAGTAGTAATTTTGTGTGTATGTGCTTACTGATAATTTTCATATCTGCTTTTTGAAATAGAAGCTAACTACTTGTTCTGCCCAATTAATGAAAAAATAATTGGGAAAATGACTGTTCTGCAAAGAACAGAATTTCAGCTCACTTTGCTATACATAAATCTGAAAATTCTCAGCTTTGGTCACAAGAAAGTGGTTCTTGAACAGCTGAGCGTGGCAGTATTAAAAGCAAGGCTCAGAATTATTTGATCTGTCCTTGTCTATGGCAACCAGCAAGCTCCAAATAACACACCAGATGTACTGCTAATATATGAATGTATTGTCTGAATCGCAAATAATTAAGCACAGAATTAATGGGCTACACATTTCCTAAAGATGATGTTATATATGCTATATATATATGTATATGTACACTATAATGCAACTGTTTGGGAGGCTTGGAAGGCATTTCAGCCTGTTTACTACTCTGAATGTGTGTTTACATGATGTACAGGATATACCCAAGAGTATTTTTGCTTCAGCCTTTCCTTTCTAGAATACAGTACTTTGGTACTTTGGATTTTCACATTTTCTCTCTCAATTGTACAGCATCCTCTCCTAAGGGATGCTAAGTAAGCACTGTAATGTTAACTGCATTGTATTGGTTTGAAACCAAAGGCTGTATGAAATTTGCTAAGACTAATACAAGCTGGAAGATATAACTTGTATTTTCTACTTAAATACTGGTATAATTCTCTTTATGAATCTGCTGTAGGTTTTCAAGTATGTACTGAATAGTCGACTTTTTACAAATCACAGGTGGGTAGAAATGCCTGTACTGTTGAACTGAGGTTCTGTGACATTCATACCTTTTGTATTCTTGTATTATTCAGTATTTGTGCATCTTTATTTAAACAACCCTGCCATTATTCTGCTATGCTTTTGTGACAAGTACATGCAGTAGCTTTTTTGGAGCCACACTTAGGGATATATGGGTTCTCACAGATTCCAGTGACTTCAGTGGAGCTACATTGACTTCTACCTGCTAAGGGTTAGTTGTATTGATCAGAGAGGCCTAGTAGAGCTTTTGTAATGGCTTTGAGTTAGCAATGTACAACTATGACAACTATAATTAGTGCTTCTGTTTTCAAGAGCTTAATTTTGTGTTTATTTTACTGTCTTTTTGGGTTGAAACTTCTGATACTAGTCCTCTGCCCTAGGGTATGCTTCCATGCTCTAAAAATTGTTCATAGGCTCTCTTTTTGCACACAGGTCTGTGGCACGTGGTTAGTCCTCTGTGAGGAGAATGTACTTTAGCAAATTTATATTTGAATATTTTTCCTTGCAACTAATTTCCTTGTTCAATTTCAATGACTAAAGCATTAATTAAATGCACCAGTGTGTTCTATTTTTCTTGTGGTGGGGGAAAGCTACTGGAAAGGGGGGGAGTGAACAGCTGGAGGCATCATGCCCTTAGAATAATCTGAAATATCAAATAGTTGATGAGTATTTGCAAACCTTTGGCTGCAAACTTGTGTCTGGTGAAGTAACAGCCTGAAAAAACAAAGATGAGTGATTATAAAGCATGGCTTGGAAAGGGAACGTAAGAAATCCAAGTGGGGAAATGCCAAGCTAAATGTTTCATTATTAAGTTTTGGTTGTTTTTTCTTTCTTAGACATCTTTAAACTGCTTTGTCATTTTGTGTGCTTATTATAAACATAATACTAACAAAACAGGTGTTAACAGAAGAAACTTCTGTTTCTTAAAGACTTACTGCAGCGTAACCCAAAAGTGGGACAGCTGTGTTATTCCACTATGTCTGTGTTAAAGAGGATGATGGAAATGCTCTCCAGTCCCTGTACTTGGGCATTGTTGCCTATATGGAGGGAACTTCTCTGCAATACTGACAAGTGAGAATTTCAGTAGGTCTCCTTCAGCTACCAGTTGTTTTCATTATCTGACACCCTGAATAAGTGCTGCTGCTCTAGCTGGTAATCTGTGAGTTGCCTGAACAGCCTCAGAGCCTCTCTGCTCTCAGGAGGGATGGCTGATAACCCAGTTGAAGCTATTTTTGTCTCAGTAGTACTGCATAAAATCACAGAATGGGTCAGGTTGGAAGGGACTATAGTGGGTCATCTGGTCCAACCTCCCTGCTCCAGCAGGGCCATCTGAGAGCACATGGCTCAGGATGTGTCCAGACAGTTCTCAAATATCTCCAGTGATGGAGAATCCACAACCTCTCTGGACAATCTGTTCAGTGCTCAGTGACTGCACAGGAAAGTTCTTCCTTGTATTCAGGTGGAACTTCCTGTGCATCAGTTTTTGCCTGTTGCTGCTTGCTTAATTGGTTTGCACTGCTGAGAAAAGCCTGACTTCATCATCTTGGCACCCTCTCCCCTTGTGATATGTTAATGAGGTCCCTCTCGGTTGTCTTTTCTCGAGGCTGAACAGACCCAGCTCCCTCAGCCTTTCCTCACAAGTGTGGTGCACCAGTTCCCTAATGTTGCCCTCTGATGGACGTGCTCTAGGAGCTCCATGTCCCTCTTGTACTGACAATACTCCAGTTATGGCCTCGTGAGCACCAGTACAAGTTCGGCACTGACCTGCTGAAGAGCAGCTCTGTGGAGAAGGACCTGCGGGTCCTGGTGTACAACAAGCTGTCCGTGAGTCAACAGTGTGTCCTTGTGGCTGAGAAATCCTTTGAAATCCTGGGATACATTAAGAAAAGTATCGCCAGCAGGTCAAGGGAGGTGATCCTGCCTCTCTCTCTGCTCAGCCCTAGGGAGGCTGCATGTGGAGTACTGTGTCCAGTTCTGGGCTTCTCAGTACCAGAGCGGCATGGAGTTCCTGGAGCAGGTCCAGCAGAGGGCAACAAAGATGATTAAGGAACTGGAGCACCTCACTTATAAGGCTGAGGGAGTTTGGCCTGCTCAATCTTGAGCAGAGACAATTCAGACTCAAAATACATTTTAAAAGTTATGCTCTGGGATGACCCTGCTCGAGCAGGGAGGTTGGAACAAATGACCCACTGCGATGCCTTCGAACCTAACTGGTTCTGTGAGAGCTCAGCTGAGAGGGAGGCAGAATCCAACGGGATG